GGGACTCGATCCAGGGACTCCAGGATCATGACCTGAGCCGAAGGCAGTCGCTTAACCAACTGAGCCACCCAGGTGCCCACATTTAAAATTTTTTACTATTCTCCTTGTGTTTGAAGGAGCTAGAATAACTGTGAGCCTCTCTTCTTAGCTCATTCTGTTCCTCTCCGACATGCTCTGGCCGTCTCTGCATCTCTCTGTGTGTCTCTGTCTTTCTGTCTCTTGTACTGTCTCTTCCTCTTGCCATCCTCTTCTCTCTTTCCAGATGAGCAGAATCAGATGTTTGCCCAGATGTTGGGCATTGATGAACCTGGCATACTGCATCAGGCCTTGTCTCTGGTCCCATCTAAGAATCTCCCGGGGAAGGACAGGGGCAGGAGTTGCTCTTGAAGCCAGCGTCCACCCCCCACCCCAGGGCAGGTGTTGAAGGCGGAAGCAATGGATTGCCATCATGAACATGTTACTTATGATTCCATGTTAAGGAATAACCCGGTAGTAACACTTGCTTTTCTATTTGGACTTATAATTTATAAAATACTTTTATACCCACCATCTCCGTTGGTGCTCGCAATCACACTATTGACATATATGCTCTCCCCATTCGACACGATAAGGAAGTTCATTTATTTAAGCATATGTTTATTGAGTGCCTGTTATGTGCCAGGGACACAGCAGTTAAAAACAAAAGCAGCCATGCAAGCACAAAAGTGCCCTCACGAAGCTTATGTTCTCCAGTGGGGGGAAGGGACCGGGGAGAATGAACAGTGAGAAGTGCTGTGAAGAAGAGGGAGGCCAGGTAAGGGATAGGGAGGGGCTGGGGTTGCTGTGTTAGGTAGGCTATCAGAGAAGGCGACATTGGAGAGATGTGGATGAGGTTTAGTGGCTCACCAGTGAGTCCCAGCCTGGACCCAGAATACAGTCTTCCGATGCTCAGTTGTTAGCCGTTTCCGTTACCTCACACGTGGGTCTCTAACAATTAGTCATGTGCTAAGCCTTCGTCTTTGACTAGATCCAATAGACAGTTCTAGTCAATAATCACAAATAATTTGATTAAATGTGAATTCTTATGCTTAGATTTCTCCTTTTTAAAAATTCACATACAATTCACCACAGTTTCTACCCAATACCTCCCTTTCCCTATTGCATTGTACCCAAATATGTTGCTTTTCCTCCATGTATGAGAGTCATACTTTAAAAAAAAATTTTTTTTCACAAACAATGAATCATGGAACACTACATCAAAAACTAATGATGTAATGTATGGTGATTAACATAACAATAAAAAATTTTTTAAAAAAAGTTTTACCTTTCTATAACTTGACTACCCTTTCTGGAACTCTGCCCCAAACCAAGCAGGAAAGAAATAATGCTTTAATAATGCTTAAATAAAACTACCTATCTATATATAATCATACTATTTATCTATGAGTCTTGCTGCTGAATAACAGCTCCAAAACAATGTCTTAAAACATAATCAGTTTGTTTGCTCACAATTCACAATCTAGGTAGGGAGCTGGGTGGTCTCCTGCTGTCACTTGGGGTCTCTCAGGCAGCTGCCGATGTCTGAAGGTGTGCCTGGTGAGCTTCACTCCCCTGTCCGATCTGTCAGGTGGAGGGCTGGAAGGAGGAGGGCTGGCAAGCATCTTCTCCCGCAGGGTGACTCCAGCAGGATAGCCAGACCCTTTTATGTGGTGGCTCAGGGAAACAAGACAGAAAAGCAGGAAGTGCCGGGCTGCCAAAAGGGCTCATCCAGCATCACCCGCCCCGCATTCAGTTGGCTAAAGCAAATCACAAGACCAGCCCAGATTCACCGGAGGAGACACAGATCCCCCCCGCTACACGGGAGGAGCAGCCCAGACAAGGATGGGAGGAACTGTTGGCGGCCATATTTGAATGCAAACTACCGCACTTATCTATCCACACACACAAATACACACACAGGACCGTGTGTTGACTCTTAAAGGTCCCAGTCATGGCAGTATATCCTGTTTCTTGGTCTACTTTCCTTAACTCATTCCAAAATACATTCTTTTCTCCTATTCTTCTGCACTCCCAAATCTGTTGCTCGGGCTTCCCTCCTGGCTAATGCTTCTGCAGCAAAGTGCAAGGGAAAGACAGTCAGTTTTGCAGGCAGACCTCTTGGGCTTGACTCCTTGCTCCATCTTGGGCAAATAACGTAACATCTTCAAGGATATGTTTTTTCACCTATAAATTAAGATAATAATAGCACCTAGCTAAGAGGATTGCTGTGAGGACAGATGAGATGATGTATGGCAAGCATATGGCACGAAATGTAGGCTTAATGTTCGGATTTTTTTTTCCTTCTCCCCTTCTCTTTCCCTTACCCCTGAACTTGAAACATCCCCTTTGTCACTGTGATATGACACAGTCAGAGAAATAGGCACAGGGAGGCAGGTTCTTCATGGTTTTTGTTATACTGGTGGCCATTTGTACATGAGCCATCGGACCTTGGACAAGTTGCTTAGTCTCACTATCCCTCATTTTCCTCATCTGTAAACTGGGGAATATAGTGGTGCCCAGCTCCCAGGGCTGTCAGAGATAAATAAGCACAGAACCTGGCACAGAGGAAGCACCTAATAAATGGTTGTTATTGTAAAAAAGAATAATATGGTATGTAAATTGATTGTTGTTATTATTTAGCCCAGTGCCTTGAATTGAATCAGGTGCCTTTGAAAACCTCTAGTGCCCCTTACCCCGTCCCATTCTAGGGAATCCCTATTCTGTTCCTTTAGGACAAGGATTCCAAACTATAAGAATGGACCACAAAAACTGGGTTCCCCATTGGTCCCTTCAGATTCCCAGGGCTACCAGGGAAGACCCAAAGAGTATAATTTTCTGTTGCTCCTTCCCCATGTTAGAAACTCACCTAAAGGGATCCTGGGAAGCAGAGACCTTACTTGAAATAACAAAGGGGAGTAGTCTGGACAGTAGTTCTCCTCTAAGACAGCCCTTGTTAACACCCTCCTTGCCCTCAGACTTTGGTTCAAATGTCTTGTGCCATCTGAGCACTTTGCTGACCCTCTCTTCTTCCTGTTCTGTGTCTTACTTACACATGCCATACAGGGTGTCATGAGGTATGAGGTTACTCCTTTTCTAAATAAAATGGCATCTGATATCTGCTGATAACCCATTTGGGTAGAAAGCCAGCACTCTAGGGTTGGGCCCTAAAAAGAACCTCTCTGTGTCAAAGAAGGTATTCATTCCTTTCTGCCAAACCAGAGCAAATAAGTATCCAAGCATTGATCACCTCATTTGCAGGTGATGCTCTTCTGAAATGCCCCTGTCTAGTTGCATGTTTTTTCCCAGTGGCCACAACACTTGGGTTAAAGTCAGCTTGACTTTTCAGGCTGCTGCCTCCAGCCAACCCGGACACCAGCCTCTTCCACCTTGTGTACGTGGATGCCATCGCCATAGCCATTGTTGGATTTTCAGTGACCATCTCAATGGCCAAGACCTTGGCAAATAAACATGGCTACCAGGTTGATGGTAATCAGGTAAAAAAACCATTCATTCCCTGCAGATATTTCATTACGGTATAATCATCCTGCTGTGCTATGGAAGGCAAATGATTTAGATTTCTCTGTCTCGTTAGAAAAACTTCTATTTTGATATTGGGGGTACTGGAAACATGTATTTATTCAACACTGCAATTTTTTCATTATTTATGTGCATTAGATCATCAGAGCACTGAGATACAGTTCTACCTCATGTCATGGGTGGGGTTCCTGCTAGGAAGAGGTAACCTTGGATGTGAGGCTTTCAGTTTGCTCTACTCCAACAGATGTTATCCCTATTTTTTAGGCTCACAGCCTGAGAAGGAAATGTTTTTCTAGAACCATTTCTGTGAAGACTTTTCTTTGCTCATTAAACTTGGACATGTGATTCATCACGCAAACTCCACATTATATTCTTTGCCACCACTTTTTAAAAATTTTTTGAGAAGGATGGGGGGAGGGGCAAAAGGAGAGGGAGAGAGAGACTCTTAAGCAGCCTCCACGCCCAGCATGGAGCCCAACGTGGGGCTCAATATCACAACCCGGAGATCAAGATGACCTGAGCCAAAATCAGGAGTCAGCTGCATAACTGACTGAGCCCCCCTAGGTGCCTCGCCACCTCCTTTTATAACCTATCTATAGATAAGTTATTTAATCTGAATATAATGAGTCATAATTTTGGCATGACAATGTCTACTTTAAAACACTGTGTATTTCTAAGAGAAGATTAAATGCTCCACATTCCCACAAGACAGTGATCCAACCAGGAAGACCGGAAGTAGCCCTGAGAGCAGGACTCACTCACTCACTGGTCCCAGGAGGACACTGGCATGCACTCACTGAAGAGCAACAGTCCAGGCATTTAGAAGATGCCAACAGTTCTATACACCAATAACTTACTCATAACATAAATATTTTGTCCCTTTTTGCTGCAGTTTTCTTTAAAAAAAAAAAATTTGTGTAAAAGAGTGGGTTTGGCAAAGTGGGGACTAGGTAGTGAGTGCAGCTTTTATCTCTGAGAGAACAAAAGCTCTAAGTGTTTTTCTCCCATCTTATTCAAGAATCCCTATTTTAAACTCATGCTAAACAAACTCTTGTATCTGGAAAGAGAATGAAGAGACAGCCTGTCCTGCTGAAAATGTATCTTAAATGGGCCATCGTGCCTTATTTCCTGAAGAATGACTGACTTCTCGTGTGCTTTGTGTCCACATGGAAAAGGAGCTCATTGCCCTGGGACTGTGCAATTCCATTGGCTCACTCTTCCAGACTTTCTCCATTTCATGCTCCTTGTCTCGAAGCCTTGTTCAGGAGGGAACTGGAGGGAAGACACAGGTGTGTATACAACTGGCCTCTGAGGACCAGTGATTTGGGGTAGTAAATTTTAATCCCCTGATTCTATTCTGAACCCAAACAAAGCTGCTCTGTCTGAAGATTGATGCTCCAGGGAGATGTGTAGTGAATCAGAGAAAGGCATGAATGGTTGAAGCGATTCACAGGAACTGAATCTATAGGAAAGAGGTATATTCTCCAGTTAAATAGAAAATTACACAACACTCCCTGCTACCAGTAAACCTCAGAGTTCAGACATAGGATGTTGCCATGAAAGCCTAAGGCTGGGTATGGATGGTCAGGATGCCAGCACCATCCAGTAGAACTTTCTGCAGTGTTGGAAATGTTCACTATTTTGCATCATCCAGTACGACAATCATTAGACACATGTGGCCCTTGAGCACTTGAAATGTGGGAAATGCAACCAAGACCTGAATTTTTAGTTGTATTTAATTTTAATTTTAAAAATTTAATAGCTGCACGTGGCTAGGGCTACTGCATTGGACAACAGAGTCTCATTTGACTCTGCTGGCCCTTGTGGGTCTTGGGTCATTATCTCCTTTCCCTCACCCCTGACAAGGGCATTTCGGTCAGAGTTTTTAATCATTTCAGCCTCTATTTAAAAGCTATAAGAGAAACCAAAACTTCAGAAAGGGGAATGGGAAGGAGTTATAGGTTTATGTAATGGTATTGATGACTTGTTTGAATCCCTATTTTCTTGACCTTTTCCGCAGTAATTAACAAAAGACTAAGATCACCCTCTGCTCCGCCTCTTACTCGTGTCTTCTAAAAGCCCCTTCTCTGTGTCGTCTCTCATTCAGCTTGCAGGTTGTTTGGCCTCGCTAATGATTCTGCTGGTCATATTAGCCACCGGATTCCTCTTTGAAGCATTACCCCAGGTGTGTAGTTTGGACTTGGTGTGAGGTGCTTCCATGTGTAGAGATTTTGCTCTTTTGTTTATGTTTTTGTGGCCATCTCATGGGTTTTTACTGTAACGCTATCAGAGCGGTATAGGAAAGGGCCAAGGCTGGGACCAAGATCCCACTCCACAATCTACAGTCCTGCCCCACAATCTGGGACCTTGGGAAAGCCATCTCAACATCTCTGGGTCTCTGTTTCCTTATCTGCAAAGTGGGGGTTTGGACTGATTAATCTCCAAGGTCCCTTCTCTCTTTGATCTTCTATGACCTTGTACTTCCATTAAAAATCTGAGATGGCCTTCACTCCGAAGACATATGTTTGCCCATCTATTTAATGTAGCAGAGATCAGGGACAGTATAGAGGAGGGAAAATCATAGTGTAGGAAGACCATGGGTGAAATAATTCCTTGAGTACCAAGTTTAATTCTGAACCTCTTGACCACCATGCAGGTTTGCTGCTAGGATATAAGCCTGGTTTTCCAAGGCCCATTTTAGCTAACCGAGTCCTGAAAATCCAGGTGTTTATGGCTCCACATGTACCATCACGGCTGTGTGGGAAGTGAGTGGGGAGAGGACGTGGGGAGCGCAGCAGGAGGACAGTGAGGAGCCAGCAAAGGGGGCTCTCTGTCCACAAGAGGAGACGCATGCGTGATGTGCTCTGTTTCAGGCTGTGCTGTCGGCCATTGTGATCGTCAACCTGAAAGGAATGTTTATGCAGTTCTCGGATCTCCCCTTTTTCTGGAGAACAAGCAAAATAGAACTGGTAAGTAACAAAGATGATTGTTAGGTTAATATGTCATTGCGACACATGGATGAGTGCCGGTAAAAATGTGAGAAAGATAAGTTAGTGCCGTCGTTTGTTATATGTAGTATCTAGTCAGGCAAGGTTAGGTACCATGTGTGTGTATGTGTGTGGAAATCTCTTAGGAAATTTCTAGCATGATTCTACATAAAGCTTTCTGTCTTTCTTGTAGACCATCTGGCTTACCACTTTCGTTTCCTCCCTGTTCCTGGGACTGGACTATGGTTTGATTACAGCTGTGATCATCGCTCTGCTAACTGTGATTTACAGAACACAGAGGTGAGTGTACAGATTGGGATGGGTGTGATTGTCCTGCCTGAAGTTGCAGTGTTGACTTTAAATACATTGTATTTGTCGACAGACACCACTAGATTGTGAGCATCTTGACTGGGAAGGCGATATTCCCAGAGTCCAACGCCGGGCATATAGTGTGTATTCTCTGAAAGCTTGTTGAGGGAGTCCACCCAGAAAAGCAGCTAACGTTCATATCATATACTCTGATTCACAAAGCACTGGTGCATGCCTGCTAGGAGGCACCAGGGCATCGTAGCAAGTCCATGGAATGTCAAATCAAAGAGCTTGAGCCGTATTCTGGCTTTGCTGATCCCTCTGACATTGAACAACTCACTCCACTAGGCCTCAATTTCTCATCCACACAACAGCATAAAGAAGCCTCGTGTGTAGGATATAATAAGGTAATATGAGGTGCTCAAGCACTAGCATCTGTCATTACAGGATTCAGTTTGAGCCAGACTGTCCTATAAAAAGAGGCGGGCTCTCCAAAAATAATGTTTAAAATCTATTCAAACCAAACTTAAGAAAACTTCTATGCTAATGAGATTTTTTTTGTTTTCTTCCCACACCTTCAGCTGACTACCACCCCCAGGAGTCAGAGCCTCTTATTAGAAACCAAAAGAAAATCTCCTCCCCTGCTTTTGAATAAGAGTAGGAAGACAGTTCTATTGAGTGGATGAGAATTTGAGTTACACATTCCTTGGCATGGCTTGAACTCCGCAACATTCACTTTGCCCCTATTTTTAAATGCCTGAGTCTTTTGTCCTGACTAGATTGTGTGGTGTGCATGTGTGTGAGAGAGGTGTGTGTGTGTGTGTGTGTGCATGTGTGCATGCATGAAGAGTGTGTGGATGTGTGTGTCGTGTATGTTTGGGACAGGGTGTGGGCACGTGCCAGGAATGGCCCTGGGAAGGTGATCCATGTGAAGCCCTCTGCAAATGTTCCATATAAGGATCACGTATTCCTGAGTTCACTAGCAAGTCCATACGTGACATGTAAACACGCAAAACCTCCTGTTTAAATCACATACTGGGCCTCAAAACAATGGTATTTTAACACCCTGTCCCTCTGTTTTTAGTCCCAGCTACAAAGTCCTTGGGCAGCTTCCCGACACAGATGTGTATATTGATACAGACGCATATGAAGAGGTAGGACTTTTTTCTCATTTTAAATGGTGGTAAGCCAAATAAATAAAATCTTTTAAAAAATAAAAAAATAGGGGTGCCTGGGTGGCTCAGTCATTAAATGTCTGCCTTCGGCTCAGATCATAGTCCCAGGGTCCTGGGATCGAGCCCCGCATCAGGCTCCCTGCTCGGCGGGAAGCTTTCTCCCTCTCCCCCTCCCCCTGCTTGTGTTCCCTCTCTTGCTGTGTCTCTATCAAATAAAATCTTTTAAAAATAAATAAATAATAAATGGTTGTAAGCATATCATGGGATAAGCTGACTAAATTTTTTACACAGGACAAAAAGTGGGGCTGAAAAGGAGGGAGGTGTTGCAGTCAGAATAAAAAGACTGAACTGGAATTAACTGTCTGGATTCAGTTTTAGAGTTTATACTCTACATTAATCACTCAACCTCCTAATATTTATTTTTCCTCTTTCTTCAATAGGGATAAATAGATATTCCTGGAATTAAAGTATATATTTACCAAATACTGAAACTGAGAGGATGGTTTATACGTGCATGATTTTATGCCTTCAAATTCCCTTGATTTTGAATATCCTGAGGGGGCATCTGGGACCATGTGTACAAAACCTTTTAAAATTAGCTTCGTCTTATGTATCATATGACCTCACTAATATGAGGAATTCTTAATCGCAGGAAACAAACTGAGGGTTGCTGGAGTGGGGGGTGGGG